ATTGAATGCAAGGAATATAAATGATATAATTTTTCAGGAACTTTGCTCTTTGAGATTGGTTCAAACAAGAATGAGAATTACTAAGGCAATCGGGATTCACCTAAATGCTTTTATAGTTATTTAATAATAGTTCTTCCCCAATAATTATGAATACGATGTCGCTAATATATTCTCCACTCTGGTTAAGGCAGCGAGAGCATGGTTTTCGTTACGTGTAAGTCCCGTTACGGCTTACATTTATCTACCGAAAACCCCGTTGAATATCAAGACATGTTACGGGAAGAGCACCATCTCGTTGTACCACCAGGTGATTAAATATTTAAATGCACCAAAGGGAAGAGGAATGGCGTCTTCCTTAGTTTGGAACAAAGTAACAAAATGGGACAAAATAAAAAGTTTATAACTCAATACCTTCTTCATGGAGATAATCTTCCTTCTCATGAAGCATGATTCCAATGACTCCATAACCTTAAAGAACAAAGGCAACCTTGACGGAATCAGAGTAGCGGCCCTCAATTCCAATACTTCAGGGATATATTTGTTCTGAAAAATAGAACTATATTTGTTCTCACACTCATAATACAATGGTATATTTGTACATTTTCCCTATTCCCATGGTTACCTTCCATCTTCCTTGTCATCGCCCCACAGTTTCATACCCCGCAGTCCTTTGAATTTTTTCCCTATGTATGTTGAATTGCAAAGAAAACAAATGATGTTTTCTTTTGAACTGTTTTCAGTCTCATACCATATCAGATCAAACCAGATCAGACTTAAACAGATCAGACCAGATCAGACTTAAACAGATCAGACCAGATCAGACTTAAACAGACCAGACCACACCAGACTTGGCGAGTTATAAAACACACAGATACCAAACATTTACCAGAACATACCAGTTTCGACCAAATTAGACCAGACCAGACTAGATCGTCAGAATTCAATTCAAAAGAAAACATCCTAAGATTATCCATCGGGCCATCCTCTTCTATAACTCCATCGTTTAAAAACCTTAACAAAATATGAGACTTGTGCAGTCTAGAGAGAGGAGCGAAGGGGAAACCCTAGTCACATCCTCCTCTTCCTTTCTTCTCTTCCTTTAATTCTTTTGGCTTCAATTATGAAAAGGGATTCTTTTAATCACTATTTTCAATTCTATCTTTACGTTTATTTCCTAGCATTGTCTAGAGATGTTATTTTCGGTAGCGAATTATTGTCTGCCAGATGTATATTCCCCGTCATCATCGGTCGAGTGTTCTTGGATGCTAGTAATAGATTTCTAAAGATTTCTTCATCAATCACGAATCTGGAATTCTTCTACATCAGTATTGAGGCCGATCCCCCCCCCCCTCCTGAACCACCACCGATCCCGAAAGATGAGATTAGGAAGATGAGATTTCATGGATTGCTTTCTTTTCGATGGCTGGTGAAACCGGAACAAATTCTGCACTTGGCTTTTTACCGGTGGTTGGCAAAACCATGAAATTCAATAGTTCCTTTTCAGTGGCTGGTCAAACCGCATCTATCTTGAGTAGCATGAGTAGTCACAATGCGCGGTACTAGTCTACATCATTGCAAGGTTAGCGAACATGAGCGTCTTTATAGGTCTTTTTTGTTCTTTGTTTCACACTAGTGTAGCTTTGAACATTATGATTGTAATGTTTCAGCATCTAATTGTTATGTTTCTTGATACTCTTATCAATAATAATTAAGTTATTCGTTTTTAAAAAAACATCCTAAGCACCGCCATCTCCTCTGTATATTATTTCTGCCAACTTTGGGGAAAGATAGAGATCCATAAATAAGTTTTGAATAAATTGAAAGGACTCTGAAGTGGGTATGAAACTGTGAGGCGATAACAAGGGAGATGAAAGGTGACGATGAGAATATGGAAAAGGTACTAATATACCCTTGTATTATGGGTGTGAGAATGAATATACTTTTTTTCTATTTTTCAGAACAAATATACCCCTGAAGTATTTGTAGAAGTGCATATATACTCCCTGGACTTTTAAAAAGTGCAAAAATACTTCTCATGTTCTATAAAGGATCAAATTTATCCTTATTGAATTTAAATTGACAAAATAAATTTCAAAAAACACCAAAAATAAATTATGATTTCGAAATTATTAATAAAAAGTTTTAAAAATGTACTTGTGTCCAATTCTGCCTTTTATTTTTCTTATATCACAATTTAATATTTTTAGTATAAAATATTGTTTCAAACATTTACTATATATTTTAGATTCTTTTGAAAAATTGTTAACATATGTGTTGCAATGTGTGTGTGTATTTTTTTTCTGTTTTTTTTTTACTCCAGGGGGGTCTGGGGGAGGAGGGCTGGGGGGAGCCTGGAGTAATCAGGCTTGAAACTCACTCCATTGAGTTTCACACCCTTATGTGCCTAGCAGGTTTCGAACTCGAGACCTCCTACTAGACACGATAACCTCACAACTGGCTGGACTGGAATGCTTTGTTGTGTGTGTGTTTGTGTATTGCATTCTTGCACTATAAAATTACATATTTTGTATGATGATAAATAGTTCAAGATTACAAAATAGTGAATTTAAGTTTATTAAGGATAAACAAAATCAAAGAATGTTATTTAAAAAATGTAATAGTGTGTTCAAAATTTCACAACAAGACTAAAATTAATATTTATGAATTTGAAGTGTTTCATTTACAAAGGAAAATTAATAATTTTGCAATTTAAAATTACAGAGTTAATATTTTAACATAATTTAAGATTTTTATTTTTAAATTTCCAATTTATAATTTATTTTTGGTGTTTTTTGAAATTTATTTTATCTCTTTAAAGTCAATAAGGGTAAATTTTCTTCTTTATAAGAACATGAGGAATATTTTTGCATTTTTTAACACTGCAACATATACTCCAGGGGTATATTTATTTCGAAAAATAAAACAGGGGTATATTTTGACAAATCTGAAGGAAGTGGGATAAATTCACCTGTCATGTTAATGAAAATGGGCTGGGCTTCGGCGACCTTTTCACAGTACAAGTGTTTTTACTTGAACAACAAGAGTTTTTGACTTGGATTCCGGTTTGACCGATGTGAATGGAGATGCACTCTCTCATTTTCTTCTGACTATGGATTGATAGAGAGATTCATGGAAGTTTATCTCACTTGTTTGGATATCATTTCCTTTAAACTTTCATTTTATTTTTATTTTACAAGTGTTGTACTTCAATTAATATGAGTTTTAGAGACAAACACTTTAACTAAGGTTCTCGATGAACATCTACCTCACTAGATGGTTGATAAAAGTTCTAAGCCAAAATATTATTATTATTATTATTATTATTATTATTATTATTTGCTCCTTAAAGAAATGTTTTTACTTGAAATGTTTATGGAAAGCCACCCATCAAACTGGTCCTTGGGGCCTTTGGTTTTCTAAACTTAATAATCCAATCAAATCTTATATGTGGAAAGGTTTGACTAAGGTTAATCACATATTTGATAATATTACTTCTTTGGTGGTTTGTAATGGTCATTCCTCTTTTTGGAATTATAACTGGCCGGATTTTGACAGACTTAGGATGACTTGAACAATGAGAAGATTTTATACCCTCACATGACGATCATGGAAGCTTATACTCCCACCTCTTTCTTTCAAGAGTTACAGAATAAGTTGTCAATAGTGTCTCAAATACTAATAACCATTTTTCCTCCGTTAATGACACTACAATTTGGACTTTGGACTCTAACTCCCGTAGGATCCTACTCCTTTCAAAGTGCATGTGAGGAAATCAGACCCAAAAAGATTTTCAGAATAGCATTAGTCACATTTGCAATGGAAATAATGTAATTAAAATTTCTTTCTTTACGTGGAAGGTTATAAATAACTTGCAATTGTGTCAGGAAAAATTACACTTTTTGTACAGTAAGGATCTCTTTAAACGTCCCTTTCGCAACACTTTTAGCAGCAGAGACCACTATTATAGCAAAAACATTTGGTCACATTTCGATAACCTTTTCAATATTGGGAATTTCAACTATGAGTCTATCAATTGTGTTTTACGAATCTGCTTTACTTGCAAAGATGATTTCCATAACCTCAACTGCGAGGTTGTTATTTATATCCATTGGATGATTGGACCATTTGGAAAAGAAGAAACAGGTACATCTATGAAGATACTAATATTTTACTTTCCAAGACTATTGACTCTATTAATAAGGGGATTCAAGATGTTAGTAAGGTCGACTGGTCGAGTCTTTTATCGCTAAAGTCGTTGATCCACCCGTTCTTGATGTAAAGATTAGTAAACCTAGGGTGAAAATCCATAAGATTACTAATTGGATTATTAGTTGGGCTAAACCTCCCAAGAACATCATCAAACCTTGACAGGAATTGATCAGCCAAGATGGAAAGCACTTGCACATTTAAACGCCTTTTAAGAGTTACTCCGTATTTCATTATGCCAAATTCAATTTTTTTTTTATATTAAGAAACCTTGTAAGTTGTAACAGGGTGACTTATTATGTTGCAAATAACGCAAAGCTTTTTGCCAGGAGCCCGATCATTCATAGTAAACTCCTGAGTGCCGTTAAATTTGATGCGATTAGTTATCCTTATGTTTTGTAATTCAATATATCTTGGCTCAACATCCCCTGCCATGTATCCCTTATTCCCTTATTTATTCAATAATTTGGTAAGGTTTCCCTGGCACTTGCATCAATTTCTGTGGACTAACACCAAAAAACTACAAATCAATAAAAGTATGAAAAAGTTATGAAAATATTATAAGGTTTCCCCAGCACTTGGGATGTTTATGTGTTCGATAGGGCACATCAATTTAAAATAACAAGTTGTGAATTGATGTTTAATAATTTTTCATGAAGGCAAGACTACAGACTAGGCAGAAAAGATCAGTGCCGGTCCTACCTAAACTCAGGTCTGAGTCGAGCTTCATAAAATGGGCCCCATGCATAGTGTTTGTTTATCATATAAATTCACTAAAATTGAATGATTAAATATCACAAAAACACAATCTTCAATAAAAGTCTTCCATTATCACAATCCGACATTGAATGTATTAAAAAATTACTTAAGTAAAACCCGTCGAACAATTTTAGATACATAATTTAGTAGAATCCTCAACAATATATACTATAGTAATGGCCTTGGGAAATACATAGGTATAATAATAGTAATGTTTAAAAAATTATGGGCCCCTTATTTTTTTAGTTTTTTGGGGCCCTAGGCCACTCCAGCCTAACATAAGGCACGGGCCTGGAAAAGATATGCACAAAAATACTTTTGTTAATATCCCGTATATGCATGTGTCTAGGGGTAGACCGGGTCCGGGTCAGGTCTTGGGCGGGGGTGGGCTTGGTAGTGAAGGCCCAGTACCGGACTGGGCTCGGGTCGGGTGCTATATTTTTTTGTTTAATTTAATTTCTTTTCAAATTAATTCCTACCCCCCTCCCCCACCCCACACCCCCAAAACCACCCAAACCACCCATCCCCACCCACCTAGTCGAAGAGCCAGGCCAAAAAAAAACACAAAAAAAACCCGGCCTAGACCGGCCGGGCCAGTTCCAAAAGGGCTTAAGCCCATGACCCGCCCCAAAACACCCCACGGTTCGGGCCAGGCCGGTACTAAACAGACGGGCCGGGCCGGTCGAACCGGTCCCGGGCCATCCCTTCATGTGTCAGTACAAAGAATGAAAGTCTTCAGATGGATCACACATAGATGATGAGTAACATGGAATAATTTCAGATGAAGAAGCGAATTGCAAGGACAAGTGCCACTGGAGAGCATAAATAAATCCCTTCAGGCTTGCTGTGGTGAAAGGCCAGTTTTGGAGGTAATTATGCTTGACAGCTTATGAGTTGAGTAGAACGTCACTGTTGAATCAAAAGGGAAGACGGAAGAACTTTATACGGATTGAGAATTCCGTTAGGGTCAAGCAACCTCTTAACAGATGCCATTAATTGTACCTGCACAAACAGCAAACATGAGCCATCAAAAGGGAAATACTAAAGCAGTGTTTGCCTTTGCTTAAAATAAGTGCTTTTCACTTTTAGATTAAAAAAACCTAAAAAAGGTATGTTAAACACAACTTCTAATTAAAAAAAAGTACTTTTAAGTTAAAAGCTAGAAGCTAGAATATACTAGCTTCAAAGTGCTTCTAGGTATTTTTGCAAACAACTCCAACTCTAAGGATAATCCTAATGACTTATTTTTTCACTTCAACCCAAAATATCCTCCCTTCTTCCCTATTTTCTCTCCCCTACCATCCTGTATCCCGTCATTCCCTTCACCATTTCTCTTCACCCCCAATAAACAACCTGCGCATATATTACATACATACACGCATATATATAATGAAAAAAAATGAAGCTTTGTTATGAAATTGTAGGGGTGAGAAAGCACTTTGCAGCTCTGAATGTAGAAACAGACAGATATTGATTAACGAGTACTATGAGAAATGTAGTTCAGAGATTTCAAGGTCTGTAGATGTTTCGAGCTCAAATGGAGGTTGCGCATGGATTGCTCTTGTACCTATCCCTTTTGGATTGCTCTTCTAAACAGTTGCTTGTGGGGTTCGTGGCTTTTGGATTTCTCTAGGTTTTTTAATTAATGGGGTTGTGGATTTCCGATTTGTGGCTGGACAGATGGTTCGCACGCTTGGATGGTGTGAAAGGTGGGGAACAAGAAAATAAATGAATAGGGGTTTGAGGGTATGGTAATCACAGCATCTGGTATGGTAATCGCAGGGTAGATGAGTGAAATGGGGCAGTCTGCAAACAAGCAATATATTAAAGGAAAAGGGTAGTTTTGTACTTTACAAAAACTACATCAAAAATCATTTTTTTATCAAACACTCCAACTTTTACATTTTAATCAAAATCACTTCTATTTCCAAACACTACCTACTTTTACTACAAATCACTTTTCCAATAATCTCTTAAAAAAATCACTTCTAAAAAGCACAAGCAATCGCAAACACTCCCTAAGAATATAGTTTTTTTGGAGAAAAAAAGGAGATTATATATCCTAGTTCTGTAGAAATTTAGGTTCATGAAGCTTTGAATGGTACCAAAAAATAGTACACATTTATGGAGTAGTACTAATAAAAAGCTCTTCCATATATGTGTGTGTGCGCACGCGCAGCGTGTCTGTAGATACATATGAGAATTACTCTCAAATGAAATGTCCACTAGTTAGTAAAAAAACATGTAACGCCGTAATCTTATAAAAAAACACGTCCGTTCCCTCACAGATTTCTGGAAACATCACTTACATCACATAAGAAAAAATGCAAGCTATTGGTCTTACAGTCTCAGGTGACTTGCTGTAATGAATTTTATTGGCTTTCATTTGTCCAAGCCCATGCTCAGCACTTATGCTTCCACGATGTTTTGACGTCCACTCATAAACGAAAGGTTCAATTTGTGATAAAATCTGCAGAAAAACATGTTCGCCTGATTAGGTAAGTGAATCTTCAGAAACAACAAAGACCTCATTGAATAAAGCAAGGCATGACGGCATGAGTGCATTACATTATCATCATACTGTGGCGCGGATATATTGAGATGTAAGTTTCCATCCCCAAGGTGACCATATGCTACTACTTTGGCTCTAGCATCTGAAAAAAATGTACCTGTCAGTATATGTGTAATCTTTTGTGATAAATTGCAGCACATACACATGGTATCATTATGGACCGAAGCTTGGGCACTATTCTATAACAAGTGAATCAATATATTTCTATGACCTTGTTATCATATTCAGTGTGCTTTATTACCATACCATATGGATACAAGCACCACGGTGCAGCTATACTTGAATGGCCTCTAGGAAATTTAGATCTATTACCATACCATATGGTCACATTGCCTCAAATAGATCACACATCTTATTTAGGTAATTTAGATCATATTGTCCGAGGTAAAAAAGTTATGACACTATTATTTAAAGTCATCATCATTACCCCGGTGCCGCAAAGGCTCCGACCTACGGTGGGGTAAGAGGGGTCGGATGTACGCAGTCTTACCCCTGTACTAAAGCACAGAGACTGTTTCCGAATGACCCATAGTGAAAATCGCATCGAAAATTGCATGGACTGGCTGTTGCTTCATAACAAAGAAGCGCAAACAGTTTAGTAGGCCATTTTGTTTTATTCTATCATATTTCCAAGCCAAAAATAGTGAGTCTTTGGCTCCATTAAAGGATTTTTCTTTAAAAATATACGAGTATCATATATTGTGAACTGCCAATAGAGGTTCTTATTTAAGCTGACAATTACAATGTCATGTATGTTCTAATCCAAACATACATCTAAGTGAAACATGTTACAAGTTTATCAATCTAGACCAGTAGTTTAAATGATACCATATAGGATATAATAATTATAATTATCTGGGCTATTTATATAAACTAATGTCAGTGTCAAATGTGTAAATTATGATATTAACTTACATTATAATATATGTGTGTGTCTGTGTGTGTCATTGAAGTTACATAATTGGTTATATTCACATTTAAAATATATTAGGTACATAAAACTAAATCGTTACTAACACATAATTATTCAATAATAAAGTCATTGGAGGATTTCAATAAAACGATTATCAAAGCTATTCGATAATTTACTTTGAGTGTCATTGGCAATCACTAATCCGGCTGAGTTATGGGTTATGGCATGCTGAAAAAACCCGGAGTCGGCTGGATCTCCAATCACTAATCACTAATACGATTATCACACTATTATTTAAAGTGAATCTCCAAATTTTGGTTTCCCAATTATCAATATGAAAGTATGCCTATTTAAAGTTTGAACATGGTTCTGCCATTTTGGCAGTGAATTAATTACCTAGACGTGTTCGCATTTCCTCAACAAGATCATTCATCTTTTCAACTGGTATTGACAAATCATATTTGTAAACAGCTCCAGCTTTCATCAAAGCTTCAGGTATACCCTGTGATTTATATTGCCAGGTTACACAGGGCTAACAAATTACCAAAAATAACAAAAACATGATTGTATAAATGGGAAGCGTGGAGTAAAGTAGTGAGAACCTCACGAATATGCCAGCATGATGATGCTTGATTTATATCTTGTGCAACAACACCATCAGTTAGCAAGCCACTTTCCATTGAATGCATCAAGAAGGACTCCAGCCTCTCCCTAGTTTTCCAATACAAGTTCAAGAACATCAATTCATCAGTGCGACTGACGGTTTAAGTAAAAGTTTTACTGACCAAAAAGGGCTTCGAGGAATTTGCTTTAGCCTCATGAGGAATAAGTCTAGAGGCAAATCATGGTGGCATGGTGCAAGCCTCATAAGTAAAATATCGCCTACTTTGATCATGCATAGAGTTTGAGATAGTGAAAACTGTGTTTTGGAAATTTATTTAGAACTTAGAAGAGAGGGGAATATTATGAACCACATATTATTTTCCTTAAAAGAAAATGGGCCATAGTTTTGAGATGAACAAAAACAGTGTGCAAATAACTTAAAACCAAGTTTTATTATATTAAATACGTTTTAAACAATTAGCACATTACATTTTTCAATCTCAAACATTAACAAGCACTAAAGAGAAATAATCTAGGGAGTAAAATATCTTTTTAACAATAAATCTAACAATTAGCACATTACATTTTTCAATCTCAAACATTAACAAGCACTAAAGAGAAATAATCTAGGGAGTAAAATATCTTTTTAAGAATAAATCTTTGTTGAGGCAGGTTCTTTTAAAAAAAATTAAAATATGTATTTTTTTCAAAAAAATGAAATTATATTATTAGATTTCATATTACCGGAAAAATATTAAGAGTATTACTACCTCCGTCCCATTAGAAGGTTCCCGTCCACTATTCACATGGTCAACTTAAATCATTTTTAATCTTTTGCTTTATATATCAAATTTTTATCAAATTTACATTTTTTTATCAGGCTTTGTAGCGGTTTTAATGTAGTTTCTGAATATGTAAATTTTATATACTAAAAATAATCAGAGTATGAACAAGGATTAAGTTGCTTTATCGTCAGTCAAGCATCGTAAACCGTAACGGGAACCTTCTAGCGGGACGGAGGGAGTATCATATTTGAAATAATTTAAAAGAATTGGGGGCCGCTCGGTTCAGTTCCACATTGGTAATTGTAATATGAATGATTAAATAATTAATGGGATTATTCATGAATCTGATAGATGGGGGGAAGGTAGTTAATGAATGTAATGGAATAGTTGGAGAATTGTGGGGCTCGTAATGATATCCAAGCACCATCAGTTGAAATGATTCTCCTGGTATTTTCATTCCTTCTATTGCTCAAAATCAAGCACCCTTTAAATTTCTATCTGATTTGTAGATGTAAAGGGGAGTTAATAAATTTTTACATGTTTAAATAATTTGTAATACTTAACTTTACCCTGTTGATAACGATTAGCTGGAAATAATTTCATAATTCCTTAAAAATATGATTTCAATGTGCAATTGATAAGGATTAAATTCACACATTTGCACGATCTCATAAATGTACTGTGCATAAGTTGAGAAACATCAAATGAATATTAAAAAAAATACATACTAAATCAACTTTTTCTTTATGAAGCACTTTTAAGAAAATTAGGACATTCTTCTACCTCATAAGAAGAATATGTTAGGGAATGAAACTCCATACTACTACCACTTGTAAGATTATATCCAATTTATGAGGTAAAGTTCATTTTTATATGTTTTTTTTTTTAATTAGAATAAAGAATGTAGTCCACAATTTTCAAGAAATTATTAAATTGCAATATTAATCTTAAGAAATAAATTTATTAGAGGTATAAACTCTTTTAAATGGTAATAGGTTGCCATAAAGAAACTAAAAGCAAAGTAACCTTATGGAAATTGGAAAGATAATGAGTAAATCAAGGATGTCAAAGAAAATAATTTGATGGAAAGAAAATATCCAATTAAAGCACATCAAGCGAGGAGGTTAGAGAAAAGTTACATGTCATGAACTTCATCACTCCCTGTTGTCTCTATCAGGACATAGAAGTTGTGTGTAGAGGACGGTAGTGGATTACGAACACCTTCTAAATGTTTCAGAACCTGTTGCCCGTAGTGACGGCAGACATGAGATATAATTTAACAGAAGTATTATTATTAAGGTAAGAGTCTGTTATGTAGCCTTAATATAATAGAGTTGAAAAAGATAACTACCAAAAGTACCAAACTCCTAATAATACTCAACCACATATTACGGAATCCCTAAAAACATTCTGCACTCCCCCCTGTACAGGTTCTTCAATCCAAGTTTGTCAAAAAGGGTCTCAAAAAGTGGCTTATGCAGAACTTTTGACAGGATGTCTGCTACATGCTAAGTAGTAAGAGCATAAATTTATGATTTCATCTTCAATCTTCTCTTTTAGGAAAAGGTGATCGATGTCCACATGCTTTGTTTTATCACGGTGCACTACATTGTGAGTGATGTTAATTGTTGCCTTATTGACACAAAGAACTCCACTAGATCGCAGGTCCATCAATTGTAGTGTCCAACTCAGCCATAACTCATAAGGTTATGTAGCCACATAACTTCACATACACCTTGGGACAAGGGTCTCAAATCTCAACTCTGCTTCGCCACTGCTTCTAGCAACAACAGATTGTTTTCAAAACCTTCAGGTCACAAAATTACCCCATACAACAGTACGCTAACTCGAGGTTAACCTCCTCTCAGGAATTGAACTAGCCCCATCAGCATCTGTGAACACTTATATTCCACAATGAGAAGTTTTTCAGAAAATTAATCCTCTTCCAGGAATCCCTTTTAAGTATCTGAGTACCCTGCATACCTCAATCAAATGTTGATTCGTGGGTGTATTCTTAAATCGACTGACATTACTCACAATATATGCACTACAGGACAAGTGTGAGTCAAATAGATTAGTTTGCCACGCAATTTTTTATACCTACCCTTGTCAGCTGGTCTACTATCTTATTCAACTCCAAGTTTTCTTTGAGAATCCAATAGAGTATCACCTGGTTTACATCTGAGCATACCAGTCTTCTAGAGTATGTCAACTGTCAAGCACATACTTCCTTTGTGACACTGAGATGCCAGACTTGATTCTAGTTATTTCATTCCAAAATATATCTCAATAACGTCATCCACATAGACAATCAAAATACTCCCTCCGTCCCAATTTATTTAGCCATCTTTCCATATTTGGCCGTCCCAAAATACTTAGCCACTTTCTATTCTAGGAAGTTAAATGAAAATGCAATGACCAATTTAACCCTCTTAATATTTTCTCCCATTCTAAACAATTCGTACCCACTCAACCTTGCTTATCTCTTACACAATCTCTCTCTTTCTTTATCTTATCATCTCTCTCTTTCTTTCTTCTACCATCTCTCCCCTTCAAAACCCTACAGCCATGGATTCTGAGGACGCTGTTCTTTGCCGTCCCTGAGACTCCACCGGAGGATGACGTCGTGGCCGACAATGAGAGAGCCTGCTAAGAGGGTGAAGGTATTCACACTGGTCTGGCCGAAGAAGAGGACGGAAGAGCTGTGGGGAGCACGGAAGAGCTGTCACTGATGTCATAGGAGGAGTCTCAGATTTTGCAGAATTCAACGAGGCATTTAGGTAAATCCTACTTGACTTTCTTCAGCCGGAAAAAAAATCAATATGCTGAAAATAATTTGGATCCATAACCTTCCTTGGTTTTCTTAAACGTATATTGTACGGAATATTGAGTATAGTTGATCTATTTCTTAAATCAATTTTGTTTGTGCTTCAATTAAAGGTCTCTTTATGGTCTTGGTTTATCTATTCATTGGGTTCTTCCTGCTTGTGTTGATTTCTGCTTTTTATTTGTAATTCTCCTCTGATTTGTGTTCTCCTACATGTGTTTTGTTTCCATTAATGTTACTCTAAATTGATAACTAATTTGGAAATTGCCCTTGGTATTTTCACTAGTTAACAAATTAAACTATTACATTGATTTGGAAACATGATTTAATGTTTTGTTTATTGAAAAAGATCAGGCTATTGCAATTCTTCATTTGAAACCTGCTTTAGTGTTTTGTGGAGAATACCAAATGAAATAAAAATAATGTTTCAACAATTCTAATAGGGAAAAAAGCCACACGGTAAAAGCCATGGATGATGAGTTCAAATCAAAAATGAAAAACAAATATAGGGATTAACAAATAACATAACTCCATGCCTCTTTAGACAAAAATAAAGCACTACAGCCCAAATGAAAAGGTAGAATAACACTACCTAAAACAAAAATATTGTATTGAAACCCCCTTTTAACCAAAACTATACCCTTCTAGGTAGGATAGCAGTGCGCCAGTGCCAAAAATAAAATTACACAACTAAAATTACATAACTGCAGCTCACCTTTAGAACAAAAAATAGAGCTTTAAAGGTAGGATAAGAATATCTAAAACAATGCAGTGAAGCCCAATTTAACCAAAACTAAAATAAACTGGAAGTTGCAACCTGATTTTAAGCCCTCAATTTGGTGTAGTGACTACCTTAAAGTTCATATCTGAAAATTGGTGGGATATTCAGTGCTGAACTTCAGTTTGTTGTGTCAGACCGGGAGTTGTAGATGTGCTAGTGAATCTTGAACAAGAGTAGGATCAACAGAAATAACTTTAGGGAGAATACCTAAACTTTCCAACCTCATTTTTCCCACATGAGGCAGTTTATATTTGTTGTGGCCCCAAAATTTAAGCACTTCAACCATGACATATTGCAGTGTAAGCCACACACGGTTTAAATTTTTAGGATCAAGCTCATCAAATGCCTCACACACATGAGTCGCCAACTCATCAATATTTCGTGAACCTTTTTTATGTTTTAATGAATCAATAGCCCTAAACCATCCTAGATCCAACACGTTCAAATTAGGACTATTAGGTGGCTGACAATTCAAGTGAATATCCCAATCACCCTCTGTTGCAGCCAAGGTTGTAAAAATCATATTTTTGAATCGAATCGGTAGAGATTTAAACATCAAATCGTAAAATTGAATCGCAAATTGTAAGATTTTATAAAAAGTAAAAAATAAAAATATTTAAAAATATTATATAAAAGAAAATCCACAATTTAACATTATTAAGTCAAATAATACTACGTAAGTTTTAGTTCGAAATTTCGTCTTAATAAAAGCTCATAATAAGTACAAGTAATTAGTTAGCAAAAGTAAAATCTAAGACTTTAGAATATATATTAAGTTTTAGTTTGCAATTTTGTGTTAATAAAAGCTCATAATAACTAATAAGTAATTAGTTAGCAAAAGTAAAGTCTAAGACTTGGGTTCATAGATTCTAAATTAAGCTGTAACAAATCGAAATATAATACTCCCTCCGTCCCTTTTTATTTAGCCAAACACTATTTTTCAAGTCAAAGTTTTTCAACTTTGACCGACTATATATTTATACACAGTAATATTGATAATATGAAAACTATATAAAAATGTTCTTTGTTAAAAATACTATCATATAAGTATAAATTTATTAACATTTACATAAATATATTAGTTAAAATACAAGATCAAAGTTTATCATCTTTGACTGGAAAAGTCAAAGTTTGCTAAATAAAAAGGGACAGAGGTAGTATAATATATTAGTTTAGACTAGAATTCAATAATTTGTAACTTCTATTGCCGGTGAGTTGCTATAATAGAGGTGGTAGGAGAGCTTAGGTGTAGTAGGATTGAATCCCTCCAATATAACCAAAGGCCGATACTACGTATTTTACATTTTCAAGAGTTAAGTTCGTTTTCTCATTTATTTCCTATCCCACACCGGAAGTAGAAGGGTTCCGCTCCTCCCAAAACTCTTATAAATAGTTACCTTCTTCTTCCGTTATAGGACTTATAGCAGGCCAGCGGCATATAGATAGTATGTTGCGGGTCCGACAGGCTTGATTTGGACCTTCTACCGGCCTAATTTATTCAGGCTAAGCTTGAAATTAAAATCGTAAAATCGCATAAAAATCGCGATTTTAAACGATTCGTAACGATTCAAATGCGATTTTTTACGATTGTAAACAGAGAAGTATAGAAATGTTTTTTGTATTCCCAATAAACAAAGAATGTTGAATATATATACAGGAGTATAATAGCTAATCTAGGAAAGTCTATATTCTATACTTAATGATTAGAATCTACATTAATTATGCATATATACTGCTGTAGCAGATCTCTAACAGAATCTACTTTGATTGACCATATATATTGCTGGAATATCTTTAACACTCCTCCTCAAGTTGGAGCGAAGATATTAATCATGTCCAACTTGCTACAAATAAAATCTATTTGTGATTTACGGAATGGCTTCGTAAAAATGTCTGCGAGTTGATGTTCAGTCCTAACATGCACTGGTATGATTGATGGAGGGTTTGATTGTGTTCCAACCACATGATCTCCGATTAAGTGGCAATCAACTTCAATGTGTTTGGTCCTCTCATGAAACACCTGATTCTTGGCTATATGAATAGCTGACTGATTATCACAATAAAGCCTCATCAAATTATTAGAATACACTCCAAGCTCTTTGACTAATCTTTTAACCCATATCATTTCACATGAAACATCTGCCATGGCTCTATATTCTGACTCTGCACTTGATCGAGAGACAATGTGTTGTTTCTTGCTTTTCCAGGACACTAAATTTCCACCAACAAAGACACAATATCCAGTAGTTGACCTTCTGGAAATAGGACAATCAGCCCAATCTGCATCCGAAAAACCTGATATCCTGCCATCTCCTTCTTCTGTGAATGCACCTACTCGACAATGACCCTGATCGGAATAGAGTACTCCTAATCCCGGTGTGGCTTTGAGATACCTCAAAACACGAAGAGCTGCATCCCAATGGCCTGTGTATGGATCAGACATGAACTGGCTCAAGACACTTACTGGAAATGATATGTCAGGTCGGGTAACTGTTAGATAATTCAGTTTCCCGGCTAGTCTCCTGTAACGCTTTGGATCCTTCATAGGACTTCCATCCTTTTCAAGAAGTTTCCCTGTTGTAAGCATTAAGCTGTCCACTGGTTTGCACCCTAGTAAGCCACATTCAGTCAA